TCTTTGTCCATTTCAGTAAAAGTACTGCAAGTTGATGACTCGGTTACTGGACACAGAACTTTGCTGAGGTAAGACAATTATTATTCCAGTGCAATATGCACTATTAAATAATGGACCACTTAAAGAAATATCAACCCCAATACTATGGATGTTGCAGCTTGAAAACTGTGATCCAAAGCAAATGATCTGAAAAGCACTTGAGCTCACATGACCATAGGGTCATGAATGAAACAGATGCACTTAAAAACTCTTCACATTTTTCAAATATAATAAGATTCTCAGTAAGTGCTTTGAAAAGAATGAGTCATGATGCCATATACAAAGGAATAATAGGCACTTGGCCTTTAGTGTGAAAATAGATCCACTGTAAATAGAAATTTTAAATACACCTTGTAACTAAGAATCAACTTACATAAACTGGGCCATCTTTCCATTCAATACAATTAAATCATGTATTTAAATAAGACAGAGTGCTACTGAATGATAGTACTATATTCATAAGAATTAGTCTTAGAAATGATGGAAGAACACTTTTAGGCCACTCTTGTCAAAAACAGTGGAAAGTTAGACCAGCTTATAGTAAACACTAGAAATCACATTTCCTTTCGGACAAAGAATTGCACTTCAGCCACAAAATGTTTAAATCCAATCCCTGACTTGGAAAGCTGATTTCCTTGCACAAGGCACTTGGCTTTTCTGTTCCTGCCAGCAATAAAAAGCAAAACATTCTCCATAAAAACAATGAGCAACCACATACGTGAATACCTTGTCTCATAAATGCATTACGTTAGCCAACTCTCTTTAACCTCCAGCGTCACACGAACATTTCTAATCAACCGTTGCATATTCCAGTTTGAAACAAAGAGACTCTTTTACTTATGGTCTGACACAACCATTAGTACTTGAAAAATGCTAATTTCAAATATAAATAAATTAATTTCATACAATTCAAGCAATTTGTTACATTAAGTTTTCCATACATGCATGCATCTTTACATCCACATCCATACACGCAAGTATGCTTCGATTAAAATGCTTTAAAATATACATATACACACACAGACTTACAATCAAATAGAAATGTATGTGTACTAATGCAAAATTAAAGCATATATACACAATTATAACATATATAATTTACAAGCACTCAGTCACAAGCAAACAGAAAAATAAAAAAATATCTGAACAATCAAATTACACACTATTTCAAATCAATTTTCACACACCACTATTAACTATATACTTTGGCGAGATAAGTGAGGTTATCTTTTTCATTTAGTCAAGTAAACAAAGCAATAAACTTTGACCCACATTAACTGTATTAAAGAGGCCACAAAAAGTCTGGTAATGCTGCGTATTCAAGTGTCAAGGCACAGATATTATACAACAAACCCACTATATTTCTGTTTCCATTTTTGTCTTTTGTTGCTAGAAATTAAGGTCCACATGGGACGTTGTACTTTCTGCTGGGACTTCCTAATTCATCCATTTCCTGCAGTTTTCTGCACCACACAGACAAGGAATCTTGTGGTCCTCCTCCTCATCAAACTTGTAATCATATGCCAGCTGAAAAAATAAATGAAAAATTAACTGTTGGTTATATCCTCAATAATATTCCTGTTCACGTGAAAAAAAAAAAAAAAAAATGAGATGCAAATACATGCATATTTTTTTTATTATTTCACCAACTTGCAAAATCAATCTCATTAATGAATCATAGCTTAGCACATTAATCAAAGATGATAAAAAAAAAACTAAAGAAAAGAGATGCTTGAATTTGCTAATAGTTAACTTGAAAACCAATATAGCACTATATTCATACCCAGTTACATCTGTATCAACTTGTTACTCAAAAGACACTTGGTTTTAAGTAAATGACATAATGGTTTACTGCATTTTAAAGAACCACTGTACTTCATAAATGATGGCTGACTACTTCTAGCTCTTCAAAAATACAACACCTCTGGCCACATAGTGATAGTGCAAATGATAGTGAAAGTGTTTCTTTTTTGGATCACCCTTAGTGGGAAATGGCCAACATTAAAAAAAAAAAAAAATAAAAAAAAAAAAATTCTCCATGGGGAAGTGGAACAGAATTATTCCTCTATAAGCCATGCGTGTCATAAGAGGTGACTAAAATGCCAGGAGCAGGGGGCTAGTAACCCTTTTTCCTGTATATATTATTTAATTTACATGCAAGGTTTCAGGTATGTCTTGCTACTTCTACTTACACTTAGGTCACACTACACATACATGTACAAGCATATAATATATACACACACCCCTCTGGGTTTTCATCTATTTTCTTACTAGTTCTTGTTCCTGTTTATTTCCTCTTACCTCCATGGGGAAGTGGAACAGAATTCTTCCTCCGTAAGCCATGCGTGTTGTAAGAGGTGACTAAATTGCCGGGAGCAAGGGGCTAGTAACCCCTTCTCCTGTATATATTACTAAATGTAAAAGGAGAAACTTTCGTTTTTCCTTTTGGGTCACCCCGCCTCGGTGGGATACGGCCAGTGTGTTGAAAGAAAGATTACTGAATTTAAAAGGAAAAACTTTTGCTTTTCCTTTTGGGCCATCCTACCTTGGTGGGATATGGCCATTTTGTTGAAAGAAGAACAAAAAAATTTAAGTAATGAAAGACTGGATATCAGATTTGAGGGAGGGAGTATGGAGGAAGTGAGTGTTTCGATATTTGATAGTGGACTTGTTGGTGGATAGGTCTGTGAAAGACGAGGTGAACCACAGAAATGAAGAAGGGAAAAAAGGTGGGTGGTGAACTGAGACATCTGTAGAGACAAAGAATGTTATCCATGGAGGCAAAAAGGGAAATGTATGAGAGTATAGTGGTACCAACACTCTTACATGGATGTGAAGCATGGGTTGTGAATGCTGCAGTGAGGAGGAGGTTGGAGGCAGCTGAGATGTGTTTTTGAAGGCAATGCATGGTGTAAACATTATGCAGAGATTTGTAGTTTGGAGATTAAAAGGAAATCTGGGGTTACTAAAAGTATTAAACAGAGGGCTGAGGAGGGGTTCTTGAGGAAGTTTGTACTATTAGAGAGACTGAACAAAATAGGATAACTTGGAGGGAAGAGGTCATCCTAAGAAAAGTTGGACTGAAGGGGTAAAGGAGGTCTTGTATGCAACAGGCCTGGACATCCAACAGGCACGTATGAGCATGTTAGATGGGTAAGTGGTTTTTATGACTTGACATGCTGATGGAGAGTAAAGTAACATATATGAAAGTATTCAGGGAAACTGGCTAGCTGGACTCGAGTCCTGGAGATGGTAGGAACAGTGTCCACACCCTGAAAGAGGGGTGGGGATGATGCAGCTTGGATGAGCATCTGAACTGTGGTATCCTTATGCTTCCTGCAAGATAGTGAGTGTATTTCTTCTTTTTCAGGTCTTCTTACCTAAGTGAAAGACGGCTGGTGTGTTAAAAAAGTGATTTGGAATTTTGTATTCTTAAGTGCCTGTTCTTTCATGAAATTTACAAGAGCTCACACACCAAACTATAAAAAAAACAATAAAAAAGAATATTAAAGTTTAATTCAAGAGTGATATACTCATCACAATCATAAGCTCAAGTAAGGAGGTGTGATTTCTTACCAACAGCACAATGCTCAATCAGAGTTAGAGTCTCCATAGAAATTCGTAAAGACAAGGGGTGTGTCAAAGTATCTGTATTAGTGATATCAACTCTTAATTTTAATGGTATCAGTATTGGACTAAAACTGAGAATATATATCAGCTAATTTTGATAGTACAGTGGAACCACAAAAATCAAACGTATCACATATTGAATGTTTTGAAAATAGGACCATTTTTTCGGACAAACTGTGTCCCTATTATTGAACGCGCCCCTATTTTCGGACCGCTGGGTACGGGACCTGTCTGTCGCCCGCTCTTCCGCGTCCCCGCGCAGGCGCTGTGAGCAGCCTAGCTTTGTTTATGCTTGAGTGAACACTAACCTGCGCTCTCATTCACGCATTTTACGATTATTTCGTTGTGTTTAGTGCTTGTGGGACTGTGAAATAAGCTGCCATGGGCCCAAAGAAACTTGCTAGTGGTACCCCTGTGGTAAAGAAAATGAGAAACACCATAGATGTGAAGAAGGAAATAATACAGAAGTATGAGAGTGGTGTGAGACTTGTTGAGCTTGCCAGGATGTATGGGAAAAACAAGCCAACCATCGGTTCTATCCTGTCAAAGAAAGAACAAATCAAGGAAGCTGATGTTGCGAAAGGTGTTAATACAGGGAGTGGATGAGGTGCCTTCTTCAAAGATTAAGGAGACTGTGCCAAGTGGAATGATGTCCAAATGTTTGTGCAGAAGTACCACCCTGAGCAAGCTGAAACAAGCCATCTTTGCAACAAGTTCAGTGACAGAACCATGTCCCATTTTAGGGAAATGTTAAAGAGGTGCCAGAAACAGGGGACTGTGGACAGTTATTTTGTGAGACAGGAGTCCAGTGACTCTTAAGCTGGTCCTAGTGGCATTAACCCCAACTCCCTCTCTCCTCCTCCCTATCTTCCAGATGCCATCGCCAATCTTCAATAAAGGTAAGTAAAAATGTTATTTTATATGTATTACTATACATAATTAAAAATTATAGTATTTGTTGTATGTAAAACTGTAATTAATCTCTATAAAATGTATTTTTTGTGTGAATATTTTTGGGTTTCTGGAACGGATTAATTGTATTTCCATTATTTCTTATGGGAAATATTGCTTCGAATTTCAGACTTTTCGAATTTAGAACTAGCTCCTGGAACGGATTAAGTTCGATTTTTGAGTTTCCACTGTATTGGCTTAAAACTGAGTATCAGTATCAGGAAAAATTTTGGAATCATCCTACGACTAGAAGAAACACTCATAAGCCCAATGTAAAAAGTACAAGTATATCAGCAAGAAACTAAACTTAATAGCTTTAATCCTTTGAAGGTCCTTGCCATTGTTCTATGGGTTTAAAGCCAGGGTCTGTGCCGTAGTGCTACGTGATGAGCTCAGCTCACTCATAATCTGTGAGTGGTAAATTTGGGCTTAGATACAAGAGAATGTATCTATGAGGTAAGTGTGTACCATATAAAAAATATCTTGCAGCACAAAGTGCATAATGAGAAAAAAAAACAGACCATGTTTTTGTTTTAAAGCAGCGACTTTGTGGTATATTTTTGTGTGGTTTTTATGGTTGTATTCGTGGTTTCTTGGTCTCTCAAAGTAGCAGAAATGTTTGATTTTTGCTGATGCTCAAGAGTAAACAAATTAGATCATACTTCCAATACACATCAACTGGTGGGGCTAAAATGCATTCACAAATACACTGATATTATTTATACAGTCATTACAATATTGCATTACAGTAAATCTATTTTTTAGTGTGAATAAAAAATCAAAATGGAATTCATGAGTAAAGCTTGAAAAAGTAACTAATAAACAAAGGAAATGTTATTTTAGTGCCAGTAATGACTGCAATGTTTATTCTGGAGCATATTTTGAAAATGGAATATTTTGAAATTTGTGTGAAATTGGCCAATAGTTGACTGGGCAGTTTCTTGTTCTCAAGTCATAAAATAGAAGGCATACTAGCAAAATAGCTAAGAATCTGGTCGAATGGAACAGTGTAATTGTCCTAAAATAGGAGTCAAAATGGGCAAAATCGCCTATATGTAAATATTGATGACTCAACAAAATTTGCAATAGCGTAATTTTGTCAATTTTCCATCAAATTTCATACTTTTCATTTTATTACCTTCAGAAAAGATTCTCATTTCATAAGAATTTTTTTTCTTTTTAATTTCTTGGACCCTATGGTCAAGTTTCAGACTGGGGGTCTGGATCCTGAAACGGTTAAATGTTAATAGAATTTAAATTTAATACTTGCCTTAACAGGGAGCCAATGCAAATAATACGAGTAGGGAGTAATGGAAACTCCAGGTGGGAGTGAAAATACCAGTCTAATTACATGATTTGGTACAGACTGAAATCTTTTAAGCAAGTAATTATGAAAATCAATAAACAAACAATTGCAACTCAATATGAGAGGAAACAAATGTGTGGATAAGGACCAAGATATTATGTGTATCAAGATATTTTAGGACTAAATAAAGATTATGAATATGAAAATAGCAAAATTTAACATTTTAATTAATGTATCCAGCAAACAACAATGAAAAATTTTGGCAGGCACCCAGATCCTTTACTGATTTAATAGGCAGTGAACCGAGTACCACAATCGAAGGTATCAAAATCTCCAAAATGTATTTCCCCGAGATTTCCCCTGATAATCAAAATAACTTTCATACCCTCATTTAGATTCTATTTTCTATTTGTCACTCACATCTGAATATAAAGAAAATGAGAAATAAAATGAAGTTTTGTATCTTCCACATTTAAAACCAGGATGTAACATAAAACAAATATTCAACTCTATGACCATCCGACAGAGAGGATAAGCCACTAACATAAGCAGTCAACAATACCAGTCCAAGAACAGATGAAGCCTGTTGAATACCATAGAGCAAAGCAGATGGCTGAGATACAGTCATTGATTACTACTTGATATAACTGACCAGTAAGATATGATTTTAGAAGAGAATGCAATTTTCCTTGAGCCACAGACCATGATCCATGATCACTGGTATTAAATATGCATTTCCTAAACAAGTGTTCAGTACCAAATCATAGCAAACTTTACACAAAGTTGACATGCAGACAAACATGACTTCACTGCAGAAAAGAAATACTGTAATTGACCTAGAATAGCACATTCAATCAATTTAGAAAGAGAAGAGCAGATCAACCAAAGCCCTTTTCACTAACTGTGGAAAATAGTCACTTTTAAAACAAGTGATCAACACAAGCTCCCTGCCAACTGGAGAAACCAAGAAAGTGAAATCCATGATACAATATGAGCCAGAACAGTCAGAGAAATCCACACCCAAGTTAAATCCAAATCCAAGTGAATATTGGCGAATTTCCTGATGAAATAATAAGAGAAATCTGCAGCCAGCTGAAAAGCTGAATCAATGGTATAATGTACCATATGGTACATTGTACCATATGGTACATTATACCATATGGTACATTGTACCATATGGTACACTGTACCATATAGTACAGGGTACAGGGACCCTTACGGAAATACGTCTCTGACTTTTTTGGGTTATCCTAGGTTCTCCAAACATATGCTGCTAAGTATAATATTCTATGTAACTTTATTTGTGTATACCTAAATAAACTTACTTACGATGCCACATGCGCTTGAGTAAGTTTATTCTGGTGTGTGGAAATACAATTACATGGATTATCATACATAGCAGCATATGTAAAAAAAAACTAGGATAACCCAAAAAAGCCAGGGTCACTTATTTCCATAGGGATCCCTGTATCTGTACCATATGGTGTCCTGTACTGTATGGTACCCTGTGCCATATGGTACCCTGTGCCATATGGTACCATGTGCCATATGGTATCCTGTACCATATGGCACCCTGTACCATATGGCACCCTGCACTATATGGTACCCTGCACCTTACGTTATCCTGTACTGTATGGTACCCTATACCATATAGTACAATGTACCATATGGTACCCTGTAACATATGATACCGTGTACCATATGGTCAACAGGTGGTGTTGGTGGCATGAGACACCAGCCAAGACTGAGTGAGTGGCAATGCAAGCTAGCTACTGACTCAGCAGTTTCCACCTCAAGGAACATGTCAAGTGGCTGTACATTTGTAAATATATAATAGAACATTACTAATATACAACATTTTTTGCATATTTTTGTTGTAAACAATTATTTTAAACAAAATAATGATGAAAATATTAGTGTGTTTATTGTGTTGAATACAACAGTACCATATAGTACCATTTGGTACAATGAACCATATGGTATCATTGTACTGTATGCTACAATGTACTGTATGGTACAATGTACCATATGGTACCATTGCACCATATGGTACCATTGTATCATATGGTACCAGTGTACCAAATAGTGCCATTGTACCATATGGTACCATTGTATCATATGGTGCCATTGTACCATATTGTACCATATGGTACCACTGTACCATATGGTACCATTGCACCCTATGACACCATTATACCATATGGTACCGTTGTATTCAACACAATAACGGCACTAATATTTTCATCATTTTGTTTACAATAAACTTGTAAACAAGTTTTGTAAGCAATATAATGCTAAACAAATTAGTAGAGTTATTGTGTTGAATACAATGAGTGTACACTTATACAATATACATTATATTGGTCTCACAGGCCACAAATGTTACTAGAAAAAGAAAAAATTTAGAAAAGAAAAGAAAAAAGTATAAAAAACGTAAAATAAAAAATGCGATTTTGCTGAAGTCGCTGATGTTGCCGCCACCCGGTCATTTTGGGTCAATTTCCCGCCGCTGTATCTCGGTAAGTACTGATCAGAAAAAAAAAAAATTGTTTTATTACCTTCACAAAAATATTATCTTTAATTCTGTAAGAAATTTTTTTTTTTTTTTTTTCAAAATTTCTTGGACACTGGGACACCCCTTCAAATTTTGGCCTTTGACCCTGAAAGGGTTAAAGAACTTGGTTTGGACAGTTTAAGGGTTAACATTGGTAGAATTACCAACAATATGTTAAGTGAAAGGACACAAATGCAACTAATGTGATATTTTGTTGTGGCAATGTTTAGCTCTCCAGGAGCATTATCAAGCCTAACGTTATGGCTTGACAAAGCTCCTGGAGAGTGAAACGTTGCCACAACAAAATGTCACATTAGTTGCAATTGTGTCCTTTTACTTAACATGTATTTACTTTGCACTTGCACACTCCCTGCACAACAAACAGCTTATACAGTACTCAATATACCATATAATTATATGCTGTATACATATCATGTGAATGTGTGTGTCCTATTCCTGGGGCAACCCTTTCCCCTCCCTCTCTTTCATACCAGATCTAGATACCTTTTTCATCCTATTCTGCTCCATCCTCTCTAAATGCCCTAACCACATCAACAACCCCTCCTCTGAATAATACTTTCTGCAATGCCACATTGCCTCCTAACTTTTACATTACAAAATCTTTGCGCAATATTAACATTTCATACTGTTCTCAAATTTGATATCCACACTGCCTCCTGCCTCCTCCTTGCTACAACATATAATTCACACCTATTCTCCATGGGAAAGTGGACCAGAATTCTTCCTAAGTAAGCCATGCGTGTCATAAAAGGCAACTAAAGTGCCAGGAGCAAGGGGCTAGTAACCCCTTCTCACGTATACATTACTACATTTACAGAGAAACTTTTGTTTTCCTTTTGGAGCCACCCTGCTTCGGTGGGTTATGGCCGGTGCATTGAAAGAATAATAATAATTCACACCCATATGAAGGAGTTAGTACCACTATACTTCCACTGCATTCCTCTTTTTTTTTTTTTTTCAACAAGTCTGCCGTCTCCCACCGAGGAAGGGTGACCCAAAAAGAAAGAAAATCCCCCCCAAAAAAATACTTTCATCATCATTCAACACTTTCACCTCAGTCACATATAATCACTGTCTTTGCAAAAGTGCCCAGATACAACAGTTTAGAAGCATATACAGTGGACCCACGCATAACGATTACCTCCGAATGCGACCAATTATGTAAGTGTATTTATGTAAGTGCGTTTGTACGTGTATGTTTGGGGGTCTGAAATGGACTAATCTACTTCACAATATTCCTTATGGGAACAAATTCGGTCAGTACTGGCACCTGAACATACTTATGGAGTGAAAAAATATCGTTAACCGGGGGTCCACTGTATAACATACCCCTTCAAACTACCAATATCCCAAACCCCTCCTTTAAAGTGCAGGCATTGTACTTCCCATTTCCAGTACTCATGTCCAGCTATATAAAAATAACTGGTTTCCCTGAATCCCTTTACTAAATATTACCCTGCTCACATTCCAACAGCTAGTCAGGTTCTCAAAAAATTCCTCTTTATCTCCTTAAATAAACATCTTTTGCTTTACACCTCGCTTACCTGTCCACCATAATCTATTTTATGGTTCACCTCATCATTCATAGATCCACCTGCCAACAGGTCCACTCTCTAATAAACACATTTACTTCCTCTTCCCAATCTGATATCTAATATTCAATGCCTAAACATTTTGTTACTCTCATCACCTTGCTTTTTTCTGTGCTCACTCTTAACCCGTAAACGGTCCAAACATATATATACGTTTTTTCAACATTTGAAAGTATGTAAAAAAAGTAGATCTTCTTTTTGTTTTTTTACATTTGAAAATGTGTAAAAAAAACTTTGATCTATTTTTTTTTGTTATATTTGAAAATATGTAAAGAAAACATAATTTACTTTTGTAGCACTAAACATGTGAACGTAGATCTGCTTGGACCGTTTATGGGTTAATTTCCTTCTTTTACATACATACACCACAAAACTGATCCAACCTTTGCCATTTCTCTTTAATTTCCAAACAAACTGTATTATTGGCAAAGAGTGACTGCAATAATTCCTACTTTGTATCAGATTCCTTATTTGTTAATCCCACATCTTCACCACATCTCTAAGTTAAACTACCAGGTGACATCATATATTCCTGTCTAAATCTTACTTTAATTGTTAAATGGTGGTTTTTCTTTTCTCCTACATACCTTAATGCGAGTCTTACTCTCTTTGTAAATACTCTTTACTAGTATACTTTTATACGAGAGCGCTTTCAGTATGAACCGCTGCCGAAAGACAGGTCATTCAACCAATTAGCGAGGTGTTAGCTATGAATTCAAATTACGTGGAAATGAGTGCCATATGCTTTCAAAATATAGTGAGGCAGAATGTTAACACCTTGGTGCTATCCTGGAACCTGGCCATGGGGCAAGAACAGAAGCAACAGTGAATTTTGATCAAAATAAACAAATAGGAAAGAAAACAGGTTATATTACTTACTACCTTTACTACCATGAGGTTGACAGATCACAAGCCATGGTATTATATTTAAGCCAACGTACATCCAAAAAGACAATTAGTTTAGGAGGAAGAAGAAAAAATTGAAACACAGTATGATACTGTACATAAATAAACGCACCTCCTCTCCTCGCAGAATTTTGCGATTGGAAATAATGAGAATCTTGAGGTCTCTCTCAACTTCGATGGTCTCTGTGTAGCAATTGGGCCCACATGAGTGGTTGACGTAGCGAGCTAGACCACCTGTTACAGTGGCATCCACAACCCGCTGGTCATCAAGACGGAACATGTAGATGCCTCGATTCTGAGCCTCATAGCGTTTTTCACGAACCTGTCATAATATAAAGGCATTTTAATAAGGGTTAACATAAAGGAGGGGTTTGGGATATTGGCAGTTTGGAGGGACTTCTAAACTGTTGTATCTGAGTGCCTCTGCAAAGGCAGTGATTATGTATGAGTGATGGTGAAAGTGTTGAATGATGAAAGCATTTTTCTTTCTTTTTGGGTCACCCTGCCTCAGTAGGAAATGGCCGATGTGTTAAAAAAAAAAAAAAAAAAGGACTCCACAGAAGTTACTGTTTTCTTTACCACAAGTTAACATGTTTACCCCACAATATATAACACTTACTAAGCATGCCTACATGAAAAAAAAACTCATTTCTTAGCTCATTATTAATTTTCCATCTTCCAGTATATATATAGCATTTGAAATAAGTTGAGTGTTTCGTACTCACAGCCTAGTTGATCATAAAACCTATGTTACAATATAGAAACCTATGTTAAAACAGAAACCCATGTTATAACATAGAAGTCCAAGTTACAACTTGAGATGATTTCATAAGCCATAATCCATTTTAATTTTACATATTTTTAACTAAGAATGTTTATCCAATATTTTACTCTGATTTATATTTGCATATCTAAAGCATTATCTATTGTTTAAATAATTTGTATATGTTAATTAAGCAAAACAGAGCTACAATAATTTGTATGTGAAGGGGCATGCAACAGGTGGACATGTCTTAAAATTTCAACCAAACTGAAGGTAGAAAAAATCAAGAGTGACAAAACAAAGTAGAGTATCCCTATTAGGTTTTCTGTAATGTGAATGATTTTATGTAGTTCAATACAAATATGAATGAGTACTGAAATTATGATAGTGAGTGTTATTCCTTCATTGGGTCACTTCATTGGGTCAATGTCCCCATGATCTAGTCCCAGACCTGACCTCCAAGTGGATCAAGGCCTCATCAAAATCAGGCTGTTACTGTTGACTGCACTCAGGCCAGCATATGAACCACAGTCTGATCAGAAACCAACTTAATGAACATATCAAGTGCCCTCTTGAAGGCACCCAGGGGTCTGTTAGTAATCTCCTTATGCATGAAGGGAGGCTGCTAGTCTTGTTTTGAGTCTCTTACACTTATTGTGTAATCTCATACTGTACTCATGGCAACCTTGTTTTTCACTGGGAATATTTTGCACCAACTGCCAAGCCTCTTGCTTTCAGATGGAGTGATATCTGAATGCAGATTTGGGACCAATCCCTCTAGGATTTTCCAGGTGTAAATTATGATACAACTTTCTCGTCTATGTTCCAACAACTACAGGTTGAGGGACTTTGAACAATGCCAGTAACTGAGGTGGAGTACTAAACTTACACATGCAATGAAGGTTCTCTGCAAATTCTCTAGATCAGCAATCTTGCCCACCTTGAGTGGGACTGTTAGTGAATAGCAATATTCCAGCCTCGAGAGATAGCTACTTGGGAAAAAAAAAGCTCTCGAGTATAAGACAGAACACTTTACAAGTATCTTACCTCTGCCAACTCTGAACGGATGATCTCACCAATGTACTCGATGATCATAGTGTTCTTTTCAATATCTCTTGCAGCATACAGACCAAGTCCTTGGATCTTAGACCTATCAAATAAAGAAGCAATCATCAAAGCAGGAACAAGTTAATGCAATTTAACACTTTCTCAACAGTCACAAAAGTAAATGTTACTTTTAGTATTAACTAAAACTCCAAGAAAGCATACACCTAAAAAAAAAAAAAAAAAAAAAAAAAAAGTGTATATTTCTCCACATTTCTTAATCAATGCTACTAAGACATAGCTTAGAATGCTATTTATTATTATTATTATTATTATTACAGTCTCTCCCCACTTAATGACGGAGTTCTGTTCCTAAGACCACGTCGGTAAACGAATTTGTTACTAAGTGAGGAGCATACTATAATGGTAGTGGATCTGTGTCAACCATCTTTGATATTGTTTTAATGTCACCTTTGCACTATTTATAACATTCCTGGTATATTTTTAAATGTTTATACAGTAGTGTACTTTATATTGTAATAAAGAGAATAGAGGAAATAAGCTCTACTATACATTATTTAATTATGCATACTGCTCAGAGAGCCTGTCGTAAGTCCAAGTCGTCGGTAAACGAGTACGTCGCTAAGTGAGAAAAAGCTGTATTATTATTACTACTATGGTACATCCACTTATACTGCAAGCTCACATAATGCAATTTTTGTGTAGAAGTGATTGAAAAAGCACAAGCAAAATTTCGTAGTGTGTAACAATCAGGATATTGCATGCAATACTTTTTTTATTTTTTTAGCAAACCGGCCGTATCCCACCAAGGCAGGGTGGCCCAAAAAGAAAAACAAAAGTTTCTCTTTTTAAATTTAGTAATTTATACGGGAGAATGGGTTATTAGTTCCTTGCTCCTGGCATTTTAGTCGCCTCTTACAACACACATGGCTTACGGAGGAAGATCCACTTCCCCATGGAAGTGGAACAGAATTCAATACATATCAAGAGAAAATGAACTACCAAGTGACACTTGAGTGGAAGACAGGGAAGACTACCAAGTGACACTTGAGTGGAAGACAGTGAAGGTGGAGAAGGGAGAGGAAGGGGAGGGAGGGAAGAGGGAAGGAGAGGGAATGAGAGGGAAGGAGAGGGAAGGAGAGGGAAGGAGAGGGAAGGGGAGGGAAGGGGAGGGAGAGGGAAGGAGAGGAGGGAGAGGGAAGGAGAGGAGGAAGCAGGAAGGAGGGAGAGGAGGAAGCAGGAAGGAGGGAGAGGAGGAAGCAGGAAGGAAGGAGAGGAGGAAGCAGGAAGGAGGGAGAGGAGGAAGCAGGAAGGAGAGAGAGGAGGAAGAAGGAAGGAGGGAGAGGAGGAAGCAGGAAAGAGGGAGATGAGGAAGCAGGAAGGAGGGAGAGGAGGAAGAAGGAAGGAGAGAGAGGAGGAAGAAGGAAGGAGAGAGAGGAGGAAGAAGGAAGGAGGGAGAGGAGGAAGCAGGAAAGAGGGAGATGAGGAAGCAGGAAGGAGGGAGAGGAGGAAGCAGGAAGGAGGGAGAGGAGGGAGCAGGAAGGAGGGAGAGGAGGAAGCAGGAAGGAGGGAGAGGAGGAAGCAGGAAGGAGGGAGAGGAGGAAGCAGGAAGGAAGGAGGGAGTGGAGTAAAGGAGGGAAGTTAAAAAAAGTAGAAATAGGAAAAGGAACAATAAGAGGAAAACTAGGAAATGGAGATACAGGAGGATGAGGTGCACAAAATTTTAGACAACGATTTTTTTTTTGTAAAACTATTACAATAGCATACAATGTGTGAAGATCACTAGTCAGTGGTAGAAGCAATCCTAAAGGTAGACAAAGACAGATGTTTTGATTTTTCTTTTTTTAACAAGTTGGTCGTCTCCCACCGAGGCAGGGTGACCCAAAAGAAAATCCCCAAAAAGAAAATATTTTCATCATCATTCAACACTTTCAAGTCACTCACACATAATCACTGTTTTTGCAAAGGTGCTCAGAATACAACAGTTTAGAAGCATATACGTATAAAGATACACAACATATCCCTCCAAACTGCCAATATCCCAAACCCCTCCTTTAGAGTGCAGGCATTGTACTTCCCATTTCCAGGACTCAAGTCTGGCTATGTAAAAATAACTGCTTTCCCTGAAACCCTTTACTAAATATTACCCTGCTCACACTCCAACAGATCGTCAGGTCCCAAATACCATTCGTCTCCATTCACTCCTATTGAACACGCTCACGCACGCCTAATGGAAGTCCAAGCCTCTCGCCCACAAAACATCCCTTACCCCTTCCTTCCAACCTTTTCGAGGATGACCCCTACCCCGCCTTCCTTCCCCTACAGACTTAAACGCTCTCCATGTCATTCCACTTTGATCCATTCTCTCTAAATGACCAAACCACCTCAACAACCCCTCTTCAACCCTCTGACTAATACCTCTATTAACTCCACATCTCCTAATTTCCACAATCTGAATTTTCTGCATAATATTTACACCACACATTGACCTTAGACAGGACATCTCCACTGCCTCCAACCGTCTCCTCGCTGCTGCATTCACAACAGATCACACCCATAGAAGTGTGTTGGTACTACTATACTTTCATACATTCCCTTCTTTGCCTCCATGGATAACGTTTTTTGACTCCACATATACCTCAATGCACCACTCACCTTTTTTCCCTCATCAATTCTATGATTAACCTCATCCTTCATAAATCCATCCGCCGACACGTCAACTCCCAAGTATCTGAAAACATTCACTTCTTCCATACTCCTCCTCCCCAATTTGATATCCAATTTTTCTTTATCTAAATCATTTGATACCCTCATCACCTTACTCTTTTCTATGTTCACTTTCAACTTTCTACCTTTACACACATTCTCAAACTCATCCATTAACCTTTGCAATTTCTCTTTAGAATCTCCCATAAGCACAGTATCATCAGCAAAAAGTAACTGTGTCAATTCCCATTTTGAATTTGATCCCCCATAATTTAATCCCACCCCTCTCCCGAACACCCTAGCATTTACTTCTTTTACAACCCCATCTATAAATATATTAAACAACCATGGTGACATTACACATCCCTGTCTAAGACCTACTTTTACCGGGAAGTAGTCTCCCTCTCTTCTACACACCCTAACCTGAGCCTCACTGTCCTCATAAAAGCTCTTTACAGCATTTAGTAACTTACCACCTATTCCATATACTTGCAACATCTGCCACATTGCTCCTCTATCCACTCTATCATATGCCTTTTCTAAATCAATAAATGCAATAAAAACTTCCCTACCTTTATCTAAATACTGTTCACATACAGTGGACCCCCGCATAACGATCATCTCCGAATGCGACCAATTATGTAAGTGTATTTATGTAAGTGCGTTTGTACGTGTATGTTTGGGGGCCTGAAATGGACTAATCCACTTCACAATATTCCTTATGGGAACAAATTCGGTCAGTACTGGCACTTGAACATACTTCTGGAGTGAAAAAATATCGTTAACCAGGGGTCCACTGTATATGCTTCAATGTAAACACTTGATCTACACATCCCCTACCCACTCTGAAGCCTCCTTGCTCATCCGCAATCCTACATTCTGTCTTGCCTCTAATTCTTTCAATTATAACCCTACCGTATACTTTTCCTGGTATACTCAGTGAACTTATTCCTCTATAATTTTTACAATCTCTTTTGTCCCCCTTCCCTTTATATAAAGGGACTATACATGCTCTCTGCCAATCCCTAGGTACCTTCCCCTCTTTCATACATTTATTAAACAAAAGTACCAACCACTCCAACACTATATCCCCCCCTGCTTTTAACATTTCTGTCATGACCCCATCAGTTCCAGCTGCTTTACCCCATTTCATTCTATGTAATGCCTCACATACCTCCACCACACTTACATTCTGCTCTTCTTCACTCCTAAAAGATGGTATACCTCCCTGGCCAGTGCATGAAATTACCGCCTCCCTTTCTTCCTCAACATTTAAAAGTTCCTCAAAATATTCTCGCCATCTACCTAATACCTCCCTCTCCCCATCTACTAACTCCCCTACTCTGTTTTTAACTGACAAATCCATACTTTCCCTAGGCTTTCTTAACTTGTTTAACTCACTCCAAAATTTTTTCTTATTTTCATTAAAATTTCTCGACAGTGCCTCTCCCACTCTTTCATCTGCTCTCCTTTTGCATTCTCTCACCACTCTCTTCACCTTTCTTTTACTCTCCATATACTCTGCTCTTCTTATAACACTTCCACTTTGTAAAAACCTCTCGTAAGCTACCTTTTTCACTTTTATCACACCCTTTACTTCATCATTCCACCAATCACTCCTCTTTCCTCCTGCCCCCACCCTCCTATAACCACAAACTTCTGCCCCACATTCTAATACTGCATTTTTAAAACTATTCCAACCATCTTCAAGCCCCCCACTACTCATCTTTGCACTAGCCCACCTTTCTGCCAATAGTCATACATTATTAAACAAAAATACCAACCACTCCAACACTATATCCCCACTGCTTTTAACATTTCTGTCATGATCCCGTCAATTCTAGCTGCTTTACCCCATTTCATTCTACGTAATGCCTCACGTACCTCCCCCACACTCACATCCTGTTCTTCTTCACTCCTAAATTAAGATGGTATACCTCTCTGGCCAGTGCATGAAATTACCGCCTCCCTTTCTTCGTTGACAATTAGAAGTTCCTCAAAATATTCTCGCCATCTACCCAAAACCTCCATCTCCCCATCTACTTACTCCCCTACTCTGTTTTTAACTGACAAATCCATTCGTTCCCTAGGCTTTCTTAACTTGTTTAACTCACTCCAAAATTTTTTCTTATTTTCATTAAAATTTCTTGACAGTGCCTCTCCCACTCTAGCATCTGCTCTCCTTTTGCACTCTCTCACCACTCTCTTTGCCTCTCTTTTACTCTCCATATACTCTACTCTTCTTATAACACTTCTGCTTTGTAAAAACCTCTCATAAGCTAACTTCTTCTCTTTTATCACATCCTTTACTTCATCATTCCACCAATCACTCCTCCTTCCTCCTGCACCCACCCTCCTATAACCACAAACTTCTGCCTCACATTCTAATACTGCATTTTTAAAACTATTCCAACCCTCTTCATCCCCCCACTACTCATACTTGCACCAGCCCACCTTTCTGCCAATAGTTGTTTATATCTCACCCGAACTTCCTCCTCCCTTAGTTTATACACTTTCACCTCCCTCTTACTTGCCATTTTCCTCTTTTCCATCTACCTCTTACTCTAACTGTAGCTACAACTAGATAATGATCCGATATATCAGTTGCCCTTCTATAAACATGTACATCCTGGAGCCTACCCATCAACCTTTTATCCACCAATACATAATCTAAAACTACTTTCATTACGTGCTATAAAACTGGGTTGTTTAAATGTGCGTGGATGTAGTGCGGATGACAAGAAACAGATGATTGCTGATGTTATGAATGAAAAGAAGTTGGATGTCCTGGCTCTAAGCGAAACAAAGCTGAAGGGGGTAGGAGAGTTTCAGTGGGGGGAAATAAATGGGATTAAATCTGGAGTATCTGAGAGAGTTAGAGCAAAGGAAGGGGTAGCAGTAATGTTAAATGATCAGTTATGGAAGGAGAAAAGAGAATATGAATGTGTAAATTCGAGAATTATGTGGATTAAAGTAAAGGTTGGATGCGAGAAGTGGGTCATAATAAGCGTGTATGCACCTGGAGAAGAGAGGAATGCAGAGGAGAGAGAGAGATTTTGGGAGATGTTAAGTGAATGTATAGGAGCCTTTGAACCAAGTGAGAGAGTAATTGTGGTAGGGGACCTGAATGCTAAAGTAGGAGAAACTTTTAGAGAGGGTGTGGTAGGTAAGTTTGGGGTGCCAGGTGTAAATGATAAGGGGAGCCCTTTGATTGAACTTTGTATAGAAAGGGGTTTAGTTATAGGTAATACATATTTTAAGAAAAAGAGGATAAATAAGTATACACGATATGATGTAGGGCGAAATGACAGTAGTTTGTTGGATTATATATTAGTAGATAAAAGACTGTTGAGTAGACTTCAGGATGTACATGTTTATCGAGGGGCCACAGATATATCAGATCACTTTCTAGTTGTAGCTACACTGAGAGTAAAAGGTAGATGGGATACAAGGTAGAATAGAAGCATCAGGGAAGAGAGAGGTGAAGGTTTATAAACTAAAAGAGGAGGCAGTTAGGGTAAGATATAAACAGCTATTGGAGGATAGATGGGCTAATGAGAGCATAGGCAATGGGGTCGAAGAGAATGGGGTAGGTTTAAAAATGTAGTGTTAGAGTGTTCAGCAGAAGTTTGTGGTTACAGGAAAGTGGGTGCAGGAGGGAAGAGGAGCGATTGGTGGATGATGATGTAAAGAGAGTAGTAAGGGAAAAAAAATTTTAGCATATGAGAAGTTTTTACAAAGTAGAAGTGATGCAAGGAGGGAAGAGTATATGGAGAAAAAGAGAGAGGTTAAGAGAGTGGTGAAGCAATGTAAAAAGAGAGCAAATGAGAGAGTGGGTGAGCTGTTATCAACAAATTTTGTTGAAAATAAGAAAAAGTTTTGGAGTGAGATTAACAAGTTAAGGAAGCCTAGAGAACAAATGGATTTGTCAGTTAAAAATAGGAGAGGAGAGTTATTAAATGGAGAGTTAGAGGTATTGGGAAGATGGAGGGAATATTTTGAGGAATTGTTAAATGTTGATGAAGATAGGGAAGCTGTGATTTCGTGTATAGGGCAAGGAGGAATAACATCTTGTAGGAGTGAGGAAGAGCCAGTTGTGAGTGTGGGGGAAGTTCGTGAGGCAGTAGGTAAAATGAAAGGGGGTAAGGCAGCCGGGATTGATGGGATAAAGATAGAAATGTTAAAAGCAGGTGGGGATATAGTTTTGGAGTGGTTGGTGCAATTATTTAATAAATGTATGGAAGAGGGTAAGGTACCTAGGGATTGGCAGAGAGCATGCATAGTTCCTTTGTATAAAGGCAAAGGGGATAAAAGAGAGTGCAAAAATTATAGGGGGATAAGTCTGTTGAGTGTACCTGGTAAAGTGTATGGTAGAGTTATAATTGAAAGAATTAAGAGTAAGACGGAGAATAGGATAGCAGATGAACAAGGAGGCTTTAGGAAAGGTAGGGGTGTGTGGACCAGGTGTTTACAGTGAAACATATAAGTGAACAGTATTTAGATAAGGCTAAAGAGGTCTTTGTGGCATTTATGGATTTGGAAAAGGCGTATGACAGGGTGGATAGGGGGGCAATGTGGCAGATGTTGCAAGTGTATGGTGTAGGAGGTAGGTTACTGAAAGCAGTGAAGAGTTTTTACGAGGATAGTGAGGCTCAAGTTAGAGTATGTAGAAAAGAGGGGAAATTTTTTCCCAGTAAAAGTAGGCCTTAGACAAGGATGTGTGATGTCACCGTGGTTGTTTAATATATTTATAGATGGGTTGTAAGAGAAGTAAATGCGAGGGTCTTGGCAAGAGGCGTGGAGTTAAAAGATAAAGAATCACACACAGGGTGGAGTTGTCACAGCTGCTCTTTGCTGATGACACTGTGCTCTTGGGAGATTCTGAAGAGAAGCTGCAGAGATTGGTGGATGAATTTGGTAGGGTGTGCAAAAGAAGAAAATTAAAGGTGAATACAGGAAAGAGTAAGGTTATGAGGATAACAAAAAAGATTAGGTGATGAAAGATTGAATATCAGATTGGAGGGAGAGAGTATGGAGGAGGTGAACGTATTCAGATATTTGGGAGTGGACGTGTCAGCGGATGGGTCTATGAAAGATGAGGTGAATCATAGAATTGATGAGGGAAAAAGAGTGAGTGGTGCACTTAGGAGTCTGTGGAGACAGAGAACTTTGTCCTTGGAGGAAAAGAGGGGAATGTATGAGAGTTTTAGTTTTACCAACGCTCTTATATGGGTGTGAAGCATGGGTGATGAATGTTGCAGCGAGGAGAAGGCTGGAGGCAGTGGAGATGTCATGTCTGAGGGCAATGTGTGGTGTGAATATAATGCAGAGAATTCGTAGTTTGGAAGTTAGGAGGAGGTGCGGGATTACCAAAACTGTTGTCCAGAGGGCTGAGGAAGGGTTGTTGAGGTGGTTCGGACATGTAGAGAGAATGGAGCGAAACAGAATAACTTCAAGAGTGTATCAGTCTGTAGTGGAAGGAAGGCGGGGTAGGGTCGGCCTAGGAAGGGTTGGAGGGAGGGGTAAAGGAGGTTTTGTGTGCGAGGGGTTTTGGACTTCCAGCAGGCATGCGTGAGCGTGTTTGATAGGAGTGAATGGAGACAAATGGTTTTTAATACTTGACGTGCTGTTGGAGTGTGAGCAAAGTAACATTTATGAAGGGATTCAGGGAAACCGGCAGGCCGGACTTGAGTCCTGGAGATGGGAAGTACAGTGCCTGCACTCTGAAGGAGGGGTGTTAATGTTGCAGTTTAAAAACTGTAGTGTAAAGCACCCTTCTGGCAAGACAGTGATGGAGTGAATGATGGTGAAAGTTTTTCTTTTTCGGGCCACCCTGCCTTGGTGGGAATCGGCCAGTGTGATAATAATAAAAAAAAAAAAATAATAATATTTATTTATCCTCTTTTTCATAAAATATGTATTACTTATTAGCAAACCTCTTTCTACACATAGCTCAATTAAAGGCTCCCCATTTTCATTTACCCCTGACACCCCAAATTTACCTACTATTCCCTCCACAACATTTTTGCCCACTTTAGCATTGAAATCCCCAACCACAAGCACTCTCACACTTGGTTCAAAGCTCCCCACGCATTCACTCAACATTTCCCAAAATCTCTCTCTCTCCTCTACACTTCTCTCTTCTCCAGGTGCATATACACTTACTACAACCCACTTTTCACATCCAACCTTTATTTTACTCCACATAATCCTTGAATTAATACATTTATAGTCCCTCTTTTCCTGCCATAGCTTATCCTTCAACATTACTGCTACTCCTTCTTTAGCTCTATTTGAAACCCCTGACCTAATCCCATTTATTCCTTTCCACTGAAACTCTCCCACCCCCTTCAGCTTTGTTTCACTTAAAGCCAGGACATCCAGCTTCTTCTCATTCATAACATCCAAAATCATCTCTTTCTTATCATTTGCACAACATCCACGCACGCACATTCAGACTTCCCACTTTGACAATTTTCTTATTCTTTTTAGTAATTACAGAAAAGGGGTTACTAGCCCATTGTTCCCGGCATTTTAGTTGACTTTTACAACACGCATGACTTACGGAGGAAAGATTCTTATTCCACTTCCCCATGGATGTAAAAGGAAAAGTAATAAGACCAAGAACTATTAAGATAAAATCAAAGGAAACTCAGATGAGTGTGTATAAATAAACATGTACATGTATGTGTAGTGTGACCTAAGTGTAAGTAGAAGTAGCAAGACGTACCTGAAATCGTGCATGTTTGAGACAGAAAAAAGACACCAGCAATCCTACCATCATGTAAAACAATTACAGGCTTTCGTTTCACACTCACTTGGCAGGACGGTAATACCTCGCTGGGTGGTTGCTGTCTACCAACCTACATTATTTAGATATACATTCTGAGGTGGGAACCTCAGACCAAGATTGAAATATAAGTATCACCTAGTCTCCTGTCTGTCTCTACATGTGGGATTCTTACCTAGCACGTATTTTTCAATTTTAATTTTTGGCATCTTTTAGATTTTGACCAATACAGTATTATGTCTCCACCTTTATTTTCCTATTCTTTACAAAAGTAATTTTTCTGAATCAATAATAAAAGTTAACTCACCTTGCTAAATAAACAACACTTCTCCACTCATTCTTCATCTTCTTATACTGTGATGATCTTGAATGGACATGCAACTTACTATAGGGCACAAAGGGATCATAGGCCATGGTCAGGGTTGCTACACTTGCAGCTGTTCTGCAGTTGCTACTTGTTCTCACGGAACCGGCACTGGTACGCATCCCATGGTAGCGTTTGAGGTGCAGTTTGTTAAAGGGCTCTGCTCGAGCACAACCGCTTGGGTTCACAGCTAAGGGGAGCTCGAACAATGGATTACGGCCATACTTGAAGTTGTAGTCACCTAGTGTGTCAATACCTGGTAATGACTCCAGGATACGAACAATTGCTGGTTCAGTTAGGCCAAAGAGATCCTCTCCACTGATGTACTGTGGAAAGAGTCTCACAACATCTGCTTTGTGACGCATCTCTGTCAAAGGTTCAAGAACTTTGTTCCATACACCCTTAGGAGAGCAGCTGACAAATGTATGGTCTTCATAACCATCCTCTTTCACAGTTATTCTAAATTCTGGCTGAGCATCATTCTCATGGATTGAACACTCATAAGCACATCTCTTGTGAAGCCGACGCATGCTCCAGTAGAACCGAATCTGGGTAAGAATAATAAAAGTAAATTTATCATATTAGATTAACTTCTTTCTTCTATAAACTGGGATAACCATTACTACATATCATACTATGACAAAAATTTACATAAATTTTTTTTTCAATATAGCAAAGGACCAAAGAAGAATTACGTACCACTTGGTAACCCACAGGATAGATGCAATATGGAGTATGGAATGCCTGGAGCTGGTGTGGGAAAAGCTGCCCTATGGACAGAAGAATTAATGAGCCAATTCTAAGAATGTAGCTCATATCTGCATGGTGCATCACTGAAGCCACTTGCCTGTTTTCGTCACGGTCTATGAAAACCCGGCGGAACACAGCTAAAGTTGAAAGTTCATTATCTTTCTCACCTTTGTTAATATGCTCTTGGCAATATACAGTTTTATTTTTGTAAAAAGTACACCCCTCTTTCACAGCACAGTTCAAGTGATAAACCTTATTACATCGCACTTTGAAGCATTTAACAGATGCTCCTGGTTGATCACAATGTTCACATATAAAAGATGACACTTTTTTCATTGCAGTTTCTACATTCATAAGGGCCCCATTCATTGTTTCATAAACATCTTCTGCCCATAAAGCACAATTTAAATGAACCCATTTATCTACATCATAATTAAGCAGTCTTGAAGGTCCATCAGCTACATAATCTCCATATAGATTGCATAGGATACACTGACGAGTATCATCTCGTAGTCGTGGTTTTCTGTAGGTGATACCCATGCGAAAAAGCAAGTCTGTCATTTCCTTTGGTGTAGGTTTTTCATAATTTTCTGGAAGAGTGAGAGCACTAGGTGTCCAGCATTTGTATTTGTGACCACGAAAACGTTTCCCATCAGGTTGTCTTGGAAACTGTTCCTCGTCATCTTCTAGTTTATGTTTGTTGGGTCGACTGAGCAGAGAATCTTCTAGTTTAGGAACCCGTAATACTTCATCCATATCTTCATCCTTCGTCCAATCTGGGAGATCATCATCAGGCATAATGGATGAAGGGTCTTTAATGTCACTAAATGTATCTCTCAGTTTGCTGAATCTACTGCTTCCATCATGCTTTCCTCTTTCATCAATTACCATACGATGTGACAATGCAAACTGCATATAACACTGCTGTGAGCAAAATGTGACTTCCTCAACAGTTACATATTCTTCTTTATTTAAGAATGGAAGCTCTGAAACTCTTTTGCATAAAATGTCTTTCAAGATAATTATATCACAATGTCGACAAAATCGTGCCTGTCCATTGAGAATACTCTGAATGTCCACCACTTGTTCTTTACCATCTTTCGGATGTTTATGATGATAAACCCTTGGTAATTTGGGAGCTTGCAGTCGGTCTGCCATTTGATATGATGATGGTGGAGGAATGTTTAAGAGGTTAGCCAAAGAACGCAGCACACCAGATACATCTTCCCCTGCTTGAGATGAAAGTGTAAGTGTAACAGTGACATTGCCCATGTCTTTTAAGGGCAGTGCTGGCGACTGTCCAATGCGACTCTTCATTGTAATGCTTGAGAGACTACCAATGTTCTCCTTATCTAATTCTGGAATATCTTTACTATCTTTGTCAAGAGATGGAAGGAATGGTAACTGTCCAGGTCTTATGGGAGTGGGTACAAGAAGAGGGATAGATGGAGAGAGGGAACGGTCACGTTGATCTTCTTGGGGATCTTCATCCATATCAACCAGCCTAAGACCCTTAAATGGAAGGGGTGATTCAGGTAATATACATTCTGGAGAAGAAGAACTTAAAACGGTATCTGGAGAATCTGCATCTCTAGTTGGGGTAGGGGCTGGAGTTGGACGATTAGAGCCACTCACAGAATCACCTTCGCCTTGGTATTCATCCAGTGGGAGGCCAATCTTTGGTGGGGTAAATTCATGAATGTAAAAGCCACGCTGAGTGGGTGCAGTTTTTGCTGGAGTAACAATAGGTAATTTATCACCAAATGGCTGTGTATTATAAAAATCAGTGATATTTTTTATAGTTGCCTGACCTTCTGAACCTTCTAAAACCCCTTGTCGATGGTTATAATCTCTCCTGCCTAGTTTAGTCAAGTCACCACTACCAAACATTGGACATAGGTTAAAGTTTCTTGGTACTTCTGGTTCCATGATAGTGAGTGGTGGCATACTCCTTAACTGTTGCATCACACTGTCAATATATGCATCATAATCTTCTTCAACTCGAGATCCTTGTCTAGCTCGCTTGGCTGGCTGTACCTTGGTGTCCTTACTTTGACTTTTTCTTCTAGCTTGCTGAGCTCGTTTTTTGGCTTTCTTAAGCTCTTCGTGGTCTAAAGAATCTGAGCCATCATTTGGTGTGGTCATCTCAGGTGTGTGTTCTCCCGTGCTAGTACCAGTACCCATTACTGTCTCGGGAATCATTACACGCATCTCTGTTTTTAGAGCAGGATCACTATTTATTCGGTCTGCCATACTTGCTGGTGTTGGTGCAGCATTCATTATTGTGGAGTTAAGTGTAGGCCGTGATCCTGATACAAGATGAGTACCTGGTGGATGAGCATTAACTAAAGGGTGTTGACCTGGGTGGGCAGGTCGAAGGCCTGGATGGACAACCATATGAGGTCCTGAGGGAGTGACAGGGTGGCCCAGTGGACGGCTTGGGTGACTGACAGTAACCGTCTGATGAGTTGGCTGTCCTGGTATCACATGATGACCCGAAGAAGGGTTTATACCTGGATGAGCTATATGATGGGTTGTGACTTGTCTTATACCTGCATGCTGACTAGACGGATGTGGACCAGTAGTATGTTGAACTGGATGGCTCTGACCAGTAAATGGTACTCCAAGACGTGCTACTGAATGACTGAGGTTAACATGACCACCAGACTGGGCTATTAACTGCTGTTGACCTAGGACAACAGTGTGAGTGCCAGGATTTTGAGAAATCTGCTGAGGACCAGACACTACAACCGACCGTTGCATTAGTTGTGGACTGGGTCCTAAGGGCTGTGGTTGAGTTCCAGGTGCAATTACTGCGTGATGCTGCTGCTGAATGTCAGCACTTTGAGACATCATGGATGCAACACTAGTGGTATGTAACGCAGGAGCATGTGAGCTAGGGGCAGAGACAGGTACAATGCTACGAGGTACTATTATGGGGGTTGGATTAGGCACCTGTGAAGCAACTTGGGACAGATGAGAGGACTGCATCGGTATTGTTCCTTGTGAGGACCTAAATAAAACCAGCTGACCTTGAGGTGGCTGTTGCAGTGGGCTAGCACACCCAGTGTTCTCCAACAGTTGCTTTAGTAAAGCATTGGAAGACTCTTTACTCATCCCTTCATTCAGTCCCTCAGTCTTCAAAGGTCCTGTGTCCAATGAAGAATTTTGTGTTGTCAAGTGTGGGTGATTCATCACTGGCAACTGTGTAGTTGTTTGTGATGGTGCACCACTAATGGTCACATGCAGTGTGCCAGGGGGTTGAGAAATGCTTGGACCAGCCATACCTGAATGTGACATGTTAGGAGTACTACAAGGACCAGGGTGCTCATCATCTGGTTCCCTCTTAATAATGCTTGAAAGCGTAGGGAGTGAGCTATGAGGACTGGGGGCTGGAGATCCCATTAGAGGAGACTGTCCCTTGATTTGTGGAGAGTGGGGAGATGGATGATTTGACAAAGGAGATGGGGATGGAGATACACGAAGTACTGGACTTGCAGAATGCCCTGCTGGAGATTTAGCAGCAGGAGGAGGCATCATGGTTGGCCGACTCACTGGGGGAGAGGGTGTACGAACTGGTTTTCCTCCATGTATCATCATCATTCTCACCCCACCTTGAACTGCAACCTGACCACTTGTGGCTGGCCGTACCATAACATTACCACTGCGTACAATGGTTTGTTGAACCATCATTGGCTGTGTCACCATGCGTACCCCAACAGTCTGCTGTAATCCACTCTGTACAACAACTCCACTCTGCGATAAAGTTCCACTGGATGTTTGTATCCATGTCTGCTGTGATAGGGTCTGAGGAACACCACTGGATAACACTCCAACTGGCTGACTTATAGATGGATGCATCACTTGCTGCTGAGTTACTAGTTTATGACCTTCTAAATCAAGACTTCCAGGTTGTTGGGAAACTGGTGCTCTTATTAACTGTGTTCTAAATTGCCTGGCTCCTGGTTGAAGCTGACCAATAGATGGAAGGGTTCGTAGCTGTTGTGTGGTCACTGATGGTGCCCCAGTTGTATGTACCACAGGTCTTTGCTGTAAACCAATTTTCTGTACTGGAATACTTACCAGTGGGCGACCAAGAGAAGGCGTCGTGAGGGTCAATGCCGATACTGATGTTGAAGGCAAGCCTGTATTATTTGGAAAGTTTGTTAACCCACTTGATATCCCACTTACTTGGTCATTGATGCTGACCATAGTACTATGAGTGGAAACTTCATCTAGTGGTCGGCTTGTTGGTGCCATACTCAAGTTGTACATAGAAGCTGTGGTTGTGGCACAAGAAGTCACAGACATAATAGGCGGTGGTACAAGAGAACCACTTATGCCACCAGCACCTGTTGTGCCCACTGCCATACCCATTATGCTAGAGTGGGTTGTGGCCACACAACCTGTGACAATATTTGATGATGGATAATTTGTAGAGGCATTGACACTTGGTAATCTAATTCCAGGAGCTACTGCTACAGTATGACTGGGGTACATGTTATTTTGTGATAATATTGCACCTCCACCAGGAATACCTATTACTGCTTGATGTCGACTTGATGGAGGAATTTCAGATTTTGAAGGCTCTGGAATAACTACCTTATTAACAATGGACGAAAGGTGAGGCGTCATGGCAGCAGTCGTCAATCCTGCTGGTGAATATGCAGACTGGCCGGCTCGTGATACTGAACCTCCAATCATCCTTACTGGTCCTTTAAGACTTTCACTTAAAACATGGGCTAAACCCTCCTGTCCCTCATGAGTCTCTACATCATTTTTTGACAGTGCTGTGGTACTTACAGCCCTTAATATGGAAGAGGAAGAGGTGCTGACATTGGATGTAGTATTTGTAGATGCTACTGTTGCCATTTCATTGCTGCAAGTAGTTTGTACTGTATTATTTTCAATTTCTCCAAGGGGTGCTCCGCCCTTCAAGCCAAATTTGAAATGCCCCCAGCGACTTCTTAAAAGAGTACCACCTCGAAGTCCAGGTTTGAAATATCCAAATCTTCTTATGTGTGGTGGAAGAGGTGCTGGATTATTGGGATTATTAGCATTACCTCCTCCTCCTCCTCCTGATCTTGGTGCAACTGTTCCTACTCCAGCAGTGGGTGTAGATGAGGAGGCAGGTGAGGGTACTGCATCACTAGTGGGTGTTGGCACTGAGGGATGAGGACTATTAACTTGACTACTGTTACTACTGGCACCTCCCATATCACTATGAGGTGTGTGTGGCGCTCCACCTACCTCCCCCGTGCCAACACTGCGAGGTGTTAACGGAGTGCCTGGGTTTTCTGCACTATGAGAACGCATTTGAGGGCTGGCAAGAGGCACAGGACTTCTCAACCCACTATGAACTGGACTTGGCTTCATAGACATATTCCCAGATATAGGACTTGGAACTGGGCCACTGGGACTAGCCAGTGGTACTGGACTCTTCAAGCCACTATGAACTGGACTAGGTTTCATAGCCATTCCACCTCCTAATGGACTTGGAACAGGTCCACCTGGACTTGGGATGGGGCCAACAGAGCCTGGACTAGGAACAGGACCTGATCCAGATGGTCTTCGGAGAGGCATCACTCCTTGGGGGTACTGATGCCTCATCATCATAGTTGTTCCTTGGCCCTGGGGCATCATTACTCCAGCTTGGGGATATGATGCTCTTACTCCCATCATATGTGGTGACATTTGACCTGGTTGTACTGTCTGTGTACCTGGACTGTGAGCGGGCATTCTAACTCTCATTGGAGACACCATCATGTGGTGTGTCATACCTTGGGGTGCACCAGGATAAGTAGTTCGTGGACCCTGATCGGGATACCCTCCTCCTGGAGATGGCATGCGTGTTTGAGGGCTAAAAGGCGATTCTCCTGGGGATGGGTGTGGACCTGGAACTACCATAGCATGAGGAGAATGTTGTGGCACTATTGTGGGATTAGGAGATGCCACTGGTGTGTGGGGTGAGGGTACCATGGGGCTCAAGCCCATTCCTGGTTGTGATGAAGGTGATGGGGACATGAGAGGACTTTGAGGAGTAGAGTGCAAAGGCGATGAACCTGCATGACCCATGGGAGAAGCCCCAGTCATCATATTTCCTGGAGAGGCATTCATTACTCCACCTTGAGTACTTATTATGTGACTTTGTCGATTTCTTTTTTTATTGTTGTACTCTTGAACGATCATAGCATGCTGTCTGGCAGACTTTCTACACTGCTCTAAATGTCGTTGAATAGCAGATGCTTCCCTCTGGACACGGGCAAGATCAGCTGCATCATTTTCATTTAGCTCTTGACCATTCTTTTTTAGCGTCCTCTGGCGACTATTTAGGCTCTTGCGTTGCTTTCTAAGCTTAATTATCTCAGTTTCATAAAATCTCTGTTGTGAAGCAATTAAGCTATGTTGCTGTCCCAGCCACTGTTCATACTGATGTTGTTGCTGTCTCTCAGCATCAGTCTGAGGGTTATCAGGGGGTTGTGGAGGTGGAGGGAGTGTCTTAATATTCACTGTGCCTGGAGTTGATGATACAGATGCCCGTGTAGTAACAGCCTGCAGTAGAGCTGTAATAAAAAATATTACCATTAAATTTCATTTGGGTTTTTCTTCTTGAGCCTTAAACTGTCCAAACGCAGATCAACGTCCACGTGCATAGTGCTCCGGATGTAGATTTATGTCCGATTTTACATGCTTTCTTGTGTAAAAAAAAAAGTAGATCTATGATCGGAGTGCTATGCACCTGGACGTAGATCTACGTTTGGATAGTTTAAGGGTTAAAGTGAGATTTCAACTTATCTAAGCTGTTAATTCTACTTTCTTAATTAATGAAAAAAAATGTGCTAGGTTTTACACATTTGAATGCCTCCTACTAAACACATGGGATATGAAGAACCAATTTCACTAGGCTTGACTAGGATAAAAGGATGCATAAGCAAAATATGAAAAAAGAATATATATGAGAAAGTCCCAACACTAAATATGAGGCACTGTAGGGGTAGGAAGGTGTCATATAAATTATAAATATAATGTAAACATGGAATTTTCTGTAAAGATTACCACCTTATATCAATCACAATGAAATTTAAAGAAATAATGCCATTGTCCTCATATAGGCTGGCTTATAATACATCATACAGTGATGAATTAGACACCTGTGCAACACTTGTGATCAATCCATCAATCTTGATGAGGTTAATTATACTGATCACACCAACTCTAGGTTGAGGGACTGATTACCTTGAATTCCTTCTGATCTTCAACAATTCTTCTCTGTAGTAGACTGAGGAAGTCAATAGTTGGCAAAACATTTCCACAATAAAGACACCCAAGTGTTGCACAAGTGTCTTATTCAGCATCCCACTGGTTCTCTGAACATTTTTCTACACATCATATAGTACCCCTACACTGAGGGCTTATAAAGTAAAGCATTGTTAATCCAACTTCTAAATGGCAAGCACTGTGTACCCTAACAATCACTTCTCATAAATGCTCAACCCTGAGTCTTCTCCCACTGTTATGCTCAAAATGGTATAAATTACCAACAAGTGGATGATTAAGACACATGTGGAACAGCTAGGTATCTTTTTTGTTGAAATGTTTTGCCTACACAGTAGGCCACTTCTGTCAAGTACAGAGGCAGCTGGTGTAGTAGTGAAATGATGATTTAATCAGTCCATCAACACATAACCATGGTTTTTCAATTTTTCCCCATGTCTAACACTGTACACTAGTTTCTTACAATATCTGATGTATTTAAGGTGGTCAGTCCCTCAGCTTGAGGCTGAGGGTCTTAATCATCAGCATCTCCCATTAACCTCCCTCACTAACTCATACACATTAACTAGAAAACAGTTCAGCAAATACCAATACATATGATCAAAGTAGAATGACATGGAAAGCATATAAATCTATAGGGGAAGGAAGGCGGGGTAGGGGTCGTCCTCGAAAGGGTTGGAGAGAGGGGGTAAAGGAGGTTTTGTGGGCAAGGGGCTTGGACTTCCAGCAAGCGTGCGTGAGCGTGTTAGATAGGAGTGAATGGAGACGAATGGTACTTGGGACCTGACGATCTGTTGGAGTGTGAGCAGGGTAATATTTAGTGAAGGGATTCAGGGAAACCGGTTATTTTCATATAGTCGGAGTTGAGTCCTGGAAATGGGAAGTACAATGCCTGCACTTTAAAGGAGGGGTTTGGGATATTGGCAGTTTGGAGGGATATGTTGTGTATCTTTATATGTGAATGCTTCTAGACTGTTGTATTCTGAGCACCTCTGCAAAAACAGTGATAATGTGCGAGTGTGGTGAAAGTGTTGAATGATGATGAAAGTATTTTCTTTTTGGGGATTTTCTTTCTTTTTTGGGTCACCCTGCCTCGGTGGGAGACGGCCGACTTGTTGGGGGAAAAAAAAAAAAAAATGAGCATAAGAAAGAAGGAACACTGCAGTAGACCTACTGACCCATGCAAAGCAGGTCCATGTCCCCCTCCCCCCCAGATTAGCCCAATGACCCACCTAGTCAGGTCACTTCCACTTAAGGAAGGAGTGCGGCATCAGACCTAGTAGCACAAGCTAGTCAAGTCTAACTCACATCCACTCACACCCAATCATGTATTTATCTAACTTATTTTTAAAATTACACAATGTTTTAGCCTCTATAACTGTACTCGGGAGTTTGTTCCACTCATCCACAACTCTATTACCAAACCAGTGCTTTCCTATATCCTTCCTGAATCTGAATTTTCCCAACTTGAAACCATTGCTGCGAGTCCTGCCTTGGCTGGAAATTTTCAGCATGCTATTTACATCCCCTTTATTTATTCCTGTTTTCCATTTATACACCTCGATCATACCCTCCCTAAATCTACGCCTTTCGAGAGAGTGTAGATTCAGGGCCCTCAGTCTATCCTCATAGGGAAGATTTCTGATACATGGGATCTACTTTGTCATCATCCTCTGTACGGTTTCCAGTGCATTTATATCCATTCTGTAATACGGTGACCAGAACTGAGCAGCATAATCTAAATGAGGCCTAACCAAGGATATATAGAGTTGAAGAACAACCTGAGGACTTCTATTATTTATATTTCTAGATATGAAGCCAAGGATTCTGTTAGCTTTATTGCAAACACTAATGCACTGTTGTCTTGGTTTTAGATTACTGCTAACCAGAACTCCTAAATCCTTTTTGCAATCAGTAGTATTAAGATCTACATTATTTTGTTTATATGTGGCATGGTTATTTTCCTATCCAACATTTGTCTATATTAAACTGCATCTGCCACTTCTCTGACCACTGCATCAGTCTATTCAAATCATCCTGGAGTGCTCTAGTGTCCTCATTAGAATGAATTGGACTGCCTATTTTGGTGCCATAAGCAAATTTGCTTATGTCGCTATTTATTCCCTCATCTATGTCGTTTATGTAAATTGTGAACAACAACGGGCCCAACACTGACCCCTGCGAAACACCGCTTGTGACGTGCCCCCGTTCTGATTTCTCCCCATTTATGCAAACTCTCTGCTCTGTCAGCCATGCCTCTACCCAGGAAAAAATTTCTCCTCCTATTCCATGTGCCTTAAGTTTCCTCAATAGCCTGTGATGTGGAACTCTATCGAAAGCCTTACTGAAGTCCATATACACAATATCATATTCATTACCATGATCTACCTCCTCAAACACCTTAGTGAAAAAAGTTAGTAAATTCATAAGACAGGAACACCCCTTTGTAAAACCATGTTGAGATTCATTAATAAATTTATGCCAATCAAGATGGCTACGAATTGCTTCGTAAATAGGTATTACATTTGTCATTTTCCACTTATCATGCACTATGCCAGTTTGTAGTGATATGTTAAAAAGATTAGCCAATGGTATGCTAAGCTCCTCTTTACATTCCTTAAACACCCTTGCAAACAGTTCATCAGGGCCTGGGGATTTGTTAGGTTTTAATTTCTCCATTTGTCCGAGGACCATGTCACTAGTTACCGCAATCATGCATAGTTTATTATCATCCTGTTCCACATAATCTATTATTTCAGGAATTTTGCTAGTATTTACCCGAGTAAAAACTGAGAGAAAGTAGGTATTGAAAATTTAACACGTATCCTTATCACTGTCAGTGATCTGACCTGAGTTACTCTTAAGTGGGCCAATCCTGTCCCTAATCTTACTTCTGTATACCTGAAAGAACCCATTTGGGTTAGTCTTCGAATCCCTTGCAACCTTAGCCTCATAATCTCTTTTTGTTTTTCTTATTCCTTTTTTGTTTCACTCTTTAATTGAATATATTGATTTCTTAACCGCTCATCCCCTCTTTTGATACGCCTATATACGCCTCTCTTTTGACCAATGAGATGTTTTAATCTATTGTTCATCCATTTGGGATCATTTCTGTTAGATCTAATTTCCCTACTCGGAACAAAAGTTACTTGGCCAGCTAGAACTATGCTCTGAAAAACGTAATAGTATTGGCAACCAAGATCACCTACCTGGCCCATAGTCAGGACACCCCAATTTAGCCCATCCAGGTAATTTCTCAGTCCCATGAAATTGGCCAAGCGAAAGTCTGGGACAGAGATTTGATTGCAATTATTTGGGTAATTCCATGATATATTGAAATTAAGTGATTTGTGATCACTTTCCTCAAGCTCATCATTAACGTCAAGATTATTAATTAGTGATTCTTTGCTGGCAAGAACCAAGTCAAGCAGACTGTTTCCTCTAGTTGGTTCTGTCACAAACTGTTCTAAAAAGCAATCCTGAACCGTATCAAGAAAGTCACTAGACTCAAAATTTCCTGTCATATTGTTCCAATCAATTTGTCTAAAGTTAAAATCTCCCATTAACACAACATTTTCATATCTAGATGCCTTATGAATTTTGTCCCATAACAGCTTACAACACTCCCTATCAAGGTTTGGGGGCCTATAAATCACACCCAAAATTAATTTGTCACGACCCTCGAGAAACTGTAGCCAAACAGATTCTGTGTCTGATGCTTTTAATCTTGTATTGTGTCTAACACAACAATTTAAATTATCACTGACATACATCGCCATTCCACCACCCTTCCTGTTGACCCTATCAGTGTGGAATAGTTCACAGCCCTGTATGTTGCATTCAGAAGGCATTTCTCTTTCAGGTTGAACTAGGTCTCTGTTATACCAATAATATCTATATTACAGATTATGTATGAGTGAGGTGAAAGTGTTGAATGATGATGAAAGTATTTTCTTTTTGGGTCACCCTGCCTGAGAGAGAGAGAGAGAGAGAGAGAGAGAGGAGAGAGAGAGAGAGAGAGAGAGAGAGAGAGAGAGAGAGAGGAGAGAGAGAGAGAGGAGAGAGAGGAAGAAGAGAGAGAGGAGAGAGAGAGAGAGAGAGAGAGGAGAGAGAGAGAAGAGAGAGAGAGAGAGAAGAGAGAGAGAGAGAGAGAGAGAGAGAGAGAGAGAGAGAGAAGAGAGAGAGAGAGAGAGAGAGAGACAGAGAAGAGAGAGAGAGAGAGAGAGAGAGAGAGAGACAGAGAGAGAGGAGAGAGAGAGAAGAGAGAGAGAGAAGAGAGAGAGAGACA